AGAGATTTTTCAGAGCACAGACGGGTTTGTGCAGATAAAGGCACATTGAGGAAGATTTCTGCCAGATCCATGCATCGGATCAAAAGAGCAGCTGCTAAAATACCATTACATAGCAGCAAACAGATATTTGAAGCTGCTGGTGCCTCTGGAGTCCCACGGACATCAAGGTGTAGAGTCCTCCAGAGTCTTGCAACTGTGCATAAACCTTCTATTTGGCCACCAATAACTAATGCTCACAAGCAGAAACGGCTGCATTGGGCAGAAAAATACACAAAAGACTAATTTTCAAACAGTCCTGTTCACTGATGAGTGCCATGCAACCCTGGATGGTCCAGATGGATAGAGTAGTGGATGGTTGGTGGACAGCCACCCTGTTCTAACAAGGCTGCGACGTCAGCAAGGCGGTGATGGAGTAATGTTTTGGGCCAGAATCATGGGAACAGAGCTGGTCAGCCCCTTTTAGGGGCCCCGAAGGTGTAAAGATGACCTCTGCAAAGTATGTGGAGTTTATGACTGACCACTTTCTTCCCTGGTACAGAAGGAAGAACTATGCTTTCCGTAATAAAATCATCTTCATGCATGACAATGCACCATCTCATGCTGCAAATAATACCTCTGCATCAATGGCTGTTATGGGGATAAAAGGAGAGAAAGTCATGGTGTGGCCTCCATCCTCCCCTGACCTCAATCCTATTGAGAAACTTTGGAGCATCCTCAAGCAAAAGATCTATGAGGGTGGGAGGCAGTTTACATCCAAACAGCAGCTCTGGGAGGCTATTCTGACATCTTGCAAACAAACTGTCCAAAAACTCACAAGTTCAATGGATGCAAGATTTGTGAAGCTGCTATCAAATAAGGGGTCCTATGTTAAAATGTAACGTGACCTGTTAAAATGTTTAAAAAGTTAAAATGTTGTTAAAAGTTTGATTGAAATAGCTTTTGATTTCAGTAAATATGCTGCAAACACAACAAATGACAATTTTCAGTTCTTTCCAACCTATAAAGTGTTTTGAAACTTACTGTGCGTAATAATTTGGAACAGTGCATTGTAAGTTTTTTATGTTTAAAAAAAATACTGTTATAATTAGGAGGTTTGTTCAATAAAATTTGAATTGTACTCTTAATAGTTGATAACATGAGAATTATGCTGACTGTTATTTACATCAATTATTTAGGTAAATGAGAAAAATATCCTTTGCATAACAATTTGGAACACGGTGTATATCCCCAATGAGGGGAATACTCCTGTTTCTCCTCTACACACTCCAATTTCTTCAGGATTGACTTCATAACTATATCTACAATATTAGGCCCTATACTGGGTTGCCCTATGGGCCTTCACTAATCCACCCATCCCAACCTGGAGCTCAAACCCCTTTTGCCTTATAGCTATATCTGATGCTGATGCGCTCGGTGAGGAATGGACCTACTTTTTTACGACTAATCATAACACAGCCTCCCCCTTTGTGGTATGGGAAACCTTCAAAAACATGCCTGTCTCATCCTCACCACACATATCTCTAGAACTAAACAAACCTCTAAATTCATATTTCAACAGGTTATCTCGCACCTAGCTCATTTTCAAAACCAGTACCTTGCTGATTCCACTTCCGACAATCTTTCTACCTTGAAACTGCAAATTAGACTAGTAGAACAACTAGCTTATGAAAAGGCCAAACAAAAACTCTTTTTTTACACACCAGCATATTTTTGAACATGGCGAACGACCTGGTAAACATTTAGCATATCTGGCTCATATGGACTCAAGACCTCCTGTTGTAATTACCTTGGAAACCTCTACGAGAGCCCTTGTATCTGACCCATCACTGTTTGCGGTGGAATTTGCCAATTACTTCCATGATGTGTATACCTCTAGAGTTTTCTCCAATCAACAACAATTTTTAGAATTATTACAATCCATCCCCTTTCAGAAATTGTTAATGGAACAGGTTGAAATGCTTGATGTTCCACTAAGGAGGAAATTGAAATAGTACTGTCTAAATTTAAACCCGCTAAAGCTCCAGGCACTGACAGGTTGCCTCTTGAGTTTTATACGCATTATGCCGGACTTCTTGTTCCAAAACTCCTGATGCTGTATGAAGCTATTTTTCAGGCCTCCACATTACCTGCGTGAGGTGCTTATAGCCCTGATCCCAAAACCTGATAAGGATCTGTTCATGCCACTCATATAGTCCTATCTCATTGTTACAAACCAATATTAAGATCCTTGCCAAGATTTTGGCAATTCACCTCAATAGGGTTGTTGCCTCACTAGTACATCCAGTTCAAATGGGTTTTATGCTTAACACTTCATTTAATACCAGGAAGTTGATAGTGAACTTACAAGCTACTCATGATTGTGTTGGTACAACTATTGTGGTCTCTTTAGCCAAGGCTTTCGATTCAGTTGAATGGATATATCTATAGCTCTGTCTCTGAAGCTTTGCTTTTGCCCCTAAATTTATTAAATGGATCTCTATCTAGTATTCAAATCCACAGGCTCGAGTATAACTCCTCTCCCATGTAATATCCAAAGAGGCATTAAAGACTTTTGAGGTTCTGAAACAGGGATTAACTCTCCCAAATTTTATGTTATTCTGTTACCTTTAGGTACGACATGCCCTAATATCACAATTCACTAACGGCTTCCAAGTCCTCATCTTACTATCTTTACTGGATGTGGGTGGTGTATGGGGAAGAACCTCACAAACTGATCTCCACTCTGTATGAACCTCTCCTCACCCCAGTAGTCTCTGATGGGGCCTACTCTCTCAAATCTCGAATGGGTGACAGATATAAGGGCTATATGAGGAATGGGATGAGGTCCTAGACTCCTGCAAAAAATGTTTTGCCTAAGATGCCTGACCACCTGACAACTCGTCTTGAATGTTTTTAAACGGATACGGATTCTTATTGTCCTAAATGCCACATATCTCCGGCATGGTTGTCCACCTGCTTTGGTGATGCCCACGGATAAATGGATTTTGGACTCAGAACTCATTTAAAAGTGTCACTATCTGCACTTGCACAGCACGTATTATTATTAAACCAAGCACCGCCGCTCTGTCAGGTTGAGCCGACGTGCGTTCCACAGACTGCACCCAAGTTTCCTGGTGACGCTATTTTGTGAAATGCACTGAGGCCTGGCCGTTTTTGTCATATTAGTCCCTGAATACATCACTTCTGGTGACTTGGGTACAGTCAGTGGAACGCACGCCAGCTCAGCCCGAGGGAAGCTGCGGTGCTTGATTTAATCACAGTGCGCGCTGTGTAGGTGCTGATAGCAGCACTTTTAAATGTGAGTGTACTTTTATCTTATAACTTCTGCATATATCATAAAATTTGCTACACTATGGGAAGAGTCTTTGTTTCTTGACTGTGTGTATTGTCATACTGGTTTATTCAAAAAAGAAAATGCCGGTGGCATCTGCTTCCTCCTTGACTTTGTGAAATGCATAAATTATTATGGATCTGGTAAGCATCTCATTTTAATGCAGGTGGTTGTGAACCAGCAGCAAGTGGAATTCACACAGGTGTTGGGTATGCAAGTGGATGATGGACTGTGATTTATTTATGGACATTTTCATTGTAAAGGTTTTATGTGGATTTATTCAACAGATAATATTTTGTTTATGTCGATCATTACTTAATGACATTAACACTTGGTTTAACCGTTTTATGGTTTTCACTAAGTGGGACTGAATCTATTTTCAGTGGGATCAGCACCTTTTATATAGGAAATTTTTTGGATACAGGGTAGAATGCACTGTAAAATGCTGCTTCCCTTTTCTTTCTTTTTTTTTTAATATGGGTTTGGTGTGGCACCCCATCTGATTGCACTTTATTCTATTTATATTGTCGTCATACAGTTGTTCTTTTTTAGTTTGTTTGGTTGTTTGTAACCGTTCCTGTTTAACCTTTGTACAACTCAATGCTTTATACTGTAATCTTATGCTTTATTTTTCATTCAGTAAAAGATATCGCCTTCTCGGCAAAAAAAAAAAAAAAAAAAATATTTTAGTAAAAAATGCTGAGTCAGTCAGGCTGTACAGGGCCGTGTGATTTCTGTCAGCAGCCCTGATTATAGGAGGGGTAGGGACACACTGCAGTTACATCTCAACAATGGAGTCTTCAAGTGACACATGGCAACATCCCCCCCCAATAAAATTCATGGAAATGTTTTGCTTCTTCAGGCAACAGCTTATGCTTTCTGCATTCAACTGATTTCTTTTCAAAGGGAGCATGTTTATCATTGTGTCTTTATTATGGGGTATCATATCAAGGAACATAAATATACTGATTGTGGGTGGGAGGGGGGCAGTATATTTTGAAGATCACACCGACTTCTGCTTGTATTCATCAAGCTTCTACCAGTGAAGAAAGTTACTGAAGTCAGCACTCCCATTAAAATCTGTTTGCCAAAACTGGAGCAGATAGGAAATTTAAAGGCTTCAACAAAGATTGGCACAAGCACTGCAAATTCTCTATAAATTCCAGCTGTACATACTGCTCTTATGCACGCTGAAGCCTGTGCAAACAATACATAAATGAGTGCTTGTTGGACAGATTTCCCATCCCTAATCGGAAGTGAGAGGAAATCTCCCCAACAGGAAAACAGACAGCAGTAAAAACCTGACTGAAGCTATAATCCTTCACCTCTTTATTCAAAACAAAAGTTAAGTTTTGGTTTGAGTTGGACTTTAACTTGGACTCTCCTGAAGGCCACAAACAGCCAACTCAATCACAGATTTGAGATCAGGCACTATCACAGCATTTTTAAATTTTATAGAAACAAAATTCCTTTATTTTCCATCTATTAATGTAAACACAAAGTTAAGGCATTATTTATTGCTTTGAAAAATTCAGTTCACTTCTCTGATGTTGTGCTGGTTTTTATCCTCTAAAAGAGACCTTCATTATACTGTAAAAGGTAACATGGTTATTAAAAAAAGAAGAGTCTTTATTCTCAGCCTAGTGCAGTTCATCCCAGCAGGTTCCTTCTATTCTGACTTGTCTTTGTTGTCCCTCCATATGACATAGTTCAGGGAAGTAGCCAGGGACAGCCAGGCTATATACGGTAACATCAGGTAGGCCGCTGTCTTGCTAACTGGGTACCAAGAGATGGTTGTGAGGACAACTGTGCCGGTGAGGGTTGCTATTGCTGCAAGGCCCTGCAGGGGGAAGGAAACAGACAATTTATTCTTTATCTGTACAACTGTCATTCATATAGACAAGCTCCACCTGCAAACATAGCAGCATAGTGTACACCAGGCCTGCTCGCAATGGTGAGTGGAAATTATGGTGGGGGAGAGTGTGTCCCCCAGGGCTGTCTTGCTGAGCAGGCTCGGAGCTCAGGCCAGATCGGTCATTGGCACTGGGAGCCGTCAGACTGCTCAATAGCTGAGCGCAGTGAAAGCAAAAAGGAAGGAGTGTGTGCTGTGCTCTCTGCCTCCCCCTAGAGTGCAGTACCCGGCTCTCTGTGCGTGAACAACGAAGTACTGCAACTTTTTATAGGTGTGTGTGTGTGTACCTAATTTCAGCTCACTCTGGTCACATGATCCTCTGTCAGCCAATGGTGGCTTTAGGGGAGAGGAGAGAGCACTTAACAGCGTGCATGCGTACATGTGTGTGTGTCTGTACATGTGTCTGCGTGTATGTACATGTATGTGTGTGTACATGTACATGTGCCTGTGTGTTCATGTGTCTGTGTATGTATGTATGTGTCTGTGTATGTATGTACATATGTCTGTGCATGTGTATTTCTGTGTATGTACATGTATCTGTGTGTATGCATGTCTGTACGTGCCTGTGTGTGTATACATGTGTCTGTATGTGTGTACAGGTGTCTGTTTGTGTGTGTTTGTTGGTGGCGAGTAACTCTTAAGGCCTGGCTAGTAGCTCAGGACTTGAAATTTTAGGCCCTGGTATACACTATGGAAAAGTCAATGGGACATTTACCTATAAAGTCACTAACTTTGCATCTGAAAATGTCCCAACTTGTAACAAATTTACAAAACAAGTTGACATTTACAAATTTTTGCAGGGTTGCTCCAAAAAATTGGAAGCGAAGCACTTATTCAACCACAACCCCCATATATTTGTATACTTTAAAACACTGGGGACATTTAAACGTAGTTGCACTTTTTCATGTACCGTATTTTTCGCTATATGGAGGAAAATAAAGTGCGGTCTTATGGAGCGAAAATAAAGCGCCGTCCGGTATTTCCGCAGCCACCATGTCAGAATACCGGGCCGGGCCGCCGCTCAGCTGTTCTCTGCGGCAGGAACTCACCTGTTCCTGGGTCCAGCTCTGTAGTCTTCCCGCGCCGGCTTCTTCCCACCCGGCATCTGTGACAGCCGGATGCCCACTGCGCATGCGCGAGAAGCGCTGCGCTTTCTGAATGGTCCGGTGTCTTCTGGGACACATGACAGGTCCAAAAGACCGGCCTTTCAAAAAGCGCAGCGCTTCTCGCGCATACGCAGCGGGCACCCGGCTGTTAGTCGGGTGCCCACAGTATAGGATGGAGAACTCCGCGGAAGTGGGAGCGGGTACCTGTCAAATTCAGGTACCTGCTCCCCCTCCCTCCCTAAAGGTCCAGCAGTCTCTGGTCATCCCTGTACTGTCCGCAGTCTCTGGTCATCCCCTGTACTATCCGCAGTCTCTGGTCATCCCTGTACTGTCCGCAGTCTCTGGTCCATCTCCTGTACTATGTCCGCAGTCTCTGGTCCATCTCCTGTACTGTGCCCGCAGTCTCTGGTCATGTCCTGTACTATGCCCCGCAGTCTCTGGTCCATCTCCTGTACTGTGTCCGCAGTCTCTGGTCCATCTCCTGTACTGTGTCCGCATGTCTCTGGTCCATATCCTGTACTGTGTCCGCAGTCTCTGGTCCATATCCTGTACTGTGCCCGCAGTCTCTGGTCCATATCCTGTACTGTGTCCACAGTCTCTGGTCATCTCCTGTACTGTGTCCACAGTCTCTGGTCATGTCAGGGAACAAGAAGATTGCCGCAGCACATGAATCTGTGCATGTGCAGGATCCCGACAAGGCATACAGGCAGGCGGGCACTAGACCCAGGTGCGCCTGTCACCAATGACAGCACGCAGCACTAGGACCCAGGCGCGCCTGTCGGCGCTGGGCAGGCTATTTAAAAGAGCACCTCGGTGCTTATTCAGTGCTGACTGGTCTTTAGCTCCCCCCGTGTCCTGCTGGTTTCCTGTGCGATTTCCTTTGGTTCTGACCCGGCTTGTTCCTGACCCCACTCTGAGTACTCTCCAGCCCCCCCGGTTCCTGACTTCGGCTCTGTTCCTGACTCTGGCATTTCCTCCTGATCCTGTATCGCGCTGCCCGACTGTTATGACCCTGGCTATCCTACGACTCCGTTCCAGTCCTGGGTCCTGGCTACATACCTGGCTCTGCTGTGCATCTGGCAATCCACTGTACCTGCCTGGTCTATCTCCACAGTACCCAAATCAGAGGATATCCTGCTTATCAAGGTCATCATCTGCAAGAGCCGCAAGCAAAACCCTGGTGCTCTTGTGCCCCTGGTCTTTAGACGCCCTCTGTTCCAATCTCAGTGGGCTCAGCATTAGTGACACAAGTGAGGCCGACCTCGTCAATTCAGTCTCCCATCAGGTACGTGACAGGTCATCTCCTGTACTGTGTCCGCAATCTCTGGTCATCACCTGTACTGTGTCCGCAGTCTCTGGTCCGTCTCCTGTACTGTGTCCGCAGTCTCTGGTCCGTCTCCTGTACTGTGTCCGCAGTCTCTGGTCCGTCTCCTGTACTGTGTCCGCAGTCTCTGGTCCGTCTCCTGTACTGTGTCCGCAGTCTCTGGTCCGTCTCCTGTACTGTGTCCGCAGTCTCTGGTCCGTCTCCTGTACTGTGTCCGCAGTCTCTGGTCCGTCTCCTGTACTGTGTCCGCAGTGTCTGGTCCGTCTCCTGTACTGTGTCCGCAGTCTCTGGTCCATCTCCTGTACTGTGTCCGCAGTCTCTGGTCCGTCTCCTGTACTGTGTCCGCAGTCTCTGGTCCGTCTCCTGTACTGTGTCCGCAGTCTCTTGTCCGTCTCCTGTACTGTGTCCGCAGTCTCTTGTCCGTCTCCTGTACTGTGTCCGCAGTCTCTTGTCCGTCTCCTGTACTGTGTCCGCAGTCTCTGTTCCGTCTCCTGTACTGTGTCCGCAGTCTCTGGTCCTTCTCCTGTACTGTGTCCGCAGTCTTTGGTCATCTCTTGTACTGTCTGCAGTCTCTGGTCATCTCCTGTACTGTGTCCGTAGTGTCTGGTCACTTCCTGTACTATGCCTGCAGTCCATTGGTTCAGAATATTTTTTTTCTTGTTTTTCTCCTAAAACCTAGGTGCGCCTTATGGTCAGGTGCGTCCTATGTAGCGAAAAATACGTTAACTGTAGATTTAGGCATATTCACACTGATGTCATGCTGTTTTGAAAGAATATGAAAAGGACCAGTTTCCAAGTTATGTATTTGTTGTCAGAGAAAAGCAGCCAAAAACAGATCTTAGATAAATGGTAGTGAAATGACCCATTTTTAAAATTTCTGCTCTGTCTAAATGCTAAGCCCCTCTTTAATAGAGGCTGCCATCGCTGACCTTTCTTAAAATTGCAATTTGCCTGGATTACTGTCTCCACCCTGCAGTCTTTGAAGTTGTCACAGCACACTTTTGGAAAACTGCGAGCTGGTACACCCTTTTTCTACTGAAGGAACTAACCTCACTTGCTCCATTTCTCTACTGAAGGAACTAACCTCACTTGTTCCATTTCTGTCTGGCAGAGATGAAAAGAACATAGCACTGAGAATAGCACAAATGAGGACAGGCCAATGTCTCCTCACCTGCTGTCCTCAGTCCATTTTGAAGTAAATAGAGGGCAATAGCAAAAGCTTCCAACCAAAGTGTTTGTCTTCACACAGAGAAAATTTCAGCTTGTTGGTCAATGTCTGAGCCAACACAACTGTTCCTTATCTTCTGAATCATGACCGGATCTAGGGGGGTGCTGGGGGCTGTGCCCCCCCTGAGATTTCAGTTGTGCCCCCCCAAGCCAGGTGCCCCCCCCCCCCCCATACTCATTGTGCCTATGGCACTGAGCCCCCCCCCCCCCCCCCCCCCATCACCACACTCAGGGCCAGCCGCAGAGAACTGAAGTATACAGTCCAGATAGGAGAAGTGACATTGGCAGAGAGAAGAGAGTGGGGAAGAGGTGCATACTTCTCTGTGATCTCCAGTGATTCCTCCATACAGAATTACACAGGATCACTTTTAGATCCAACGGCTTTATTAACCACCCCCATCTCCTTCAAAGACAGCTCAACTCCTGAAAATGTGGATGGGGGCAGGTAATCAACCCGTGCACTGTCAGATCTAAGAGAGATCCTGTGTAACCTTCTGTTTGGAGGATCACTGTTATGACAGGAAGAGGGAGATCTACTCCTGTAGTTCCCACATGGAAGATTGGGGGAGGGGAGCTGGTGGAGAGGGTGGTGGGGGGGCTGTTTGTGCTGCGAAGGATAATTGGGAGGGATGTGTTAGGAGGGGGATTTGGGTGGGGACTGGGATTTGTGCTGGAAAGGGTAAGGTTTTGTACTAGGAGGGGAGATTTGAGGAGAGGAATTACACTAAAAGTGGAGTTTTAGGGGGATTTGTACTGGGGGGGATTGGGAGAGAATATGAACAAGGAGGGGGAGTTTGGGGAGACAGTTTGATTTTTTTTGGGCATGGAAGACTTGTGGGGAATTAGGTAGGATTTGAGCTGGAATGTGGGATGGGGGGGGGGGGGGGGCAAAGATTTGTGCTGGGAGGAGGATTTGAACTGTGAGGATGGGGAATTTTTGCATTTTTGGTTGGGTAGAATTTGGGTTTGCAGAGGGAATATCTTCTTAGGGCTGGAGCGTGTTGATTAGTGCTAATTTCTTTTTTTATGGGGGGGGGGGGGGGGGGGGTGGGGGGGGGGTTTGCTCTGGTGGAAGGTGGGGGCACAGTTTGTCATCTGCAGTGCTAGATGACCTTGTGCCTGCACTGCACACAAGGAATGCAACAGATCTCCTCCTCCACACATAACACATGGCTGAGAGCAGATTCCCTAACAGACACAGCATCGATCTGCACAATGTGCAAGTGGCTGCTATGCTGTAGTTCTGACCTGTGAAATTCCTACACACTGTGTGAAGGGATACCGATCTCAGCTATGTGCTGTGTGGGGAGGAGGAGATCTCTTAAAGCAGAGCTCCACTCAAAAGCGGAAGCTCCCCCCCCCCCCCCCCCCCCCCCACAGCCATATTTGGCACCTTTTGGCGGGAGCGGATACCTGTTTTTGACAGGTACCTGCTCCGACTCAGTTCTCCGCAGCGAAGTGAGCCAGAAATTTGGCCCCCTCCATGCTGGCACCATGGAGGAGAGAAGGAGTGAAGAGACGGCGCGGGTTAATACATCACTGGACCCTGGGACAGGCAAGTTTTGTGTTTATCAGGTAAAGTCAGCAGCTACAGTTTATGTAGCTGCTGACTTTTAAAAAACACAAAAATGTCCGGAACTCCGATTTCAGTGCCCTGCTAGCAGTGACCCTGTTCTCAACGCTGCTGACCACTGTCTTCCACCATGCTAACCCCTGTCCTTTTGAACCCTGTCCTCTGCCATGCTAGCCCCTGTACACTGCTTCAATAACCCAGTGTACGCTGCCCTTTAATAAAACTGCTGACCCTGTCCTCTGCTCTGCTGACCACCTGTACACTGTGCTTCTGACTCTTACACACTGCCCTGTTGACTTCGCATCCTCTGCCCCCCTGACGTTTTTCACTGTACATCCAAATGAGATAGGCTAGATCCGGCCCTGTTCTGAATGAGTAGGAGGTAATATAAACTGTCCATCAGGCAAGTTGAAGGATGCTACAAAGGGCAGGAGTCTCCCCACCTGTTGATGTCTAGGAATTTCTGATCCTCAATGGTTAGCTTTAGTTGACAAATTGTTCTACCTACCCAGCCAATTTTGTGAGCACCAAAGAAGATGGGTGTCCAGGCCCAGTTAAGTGCCAACTGCCCAGCATAGAGTCCAAATGGAACCAAAGCATCCTCGGTGAAACCACCCAGCTCCTTATATATCAGGTATGAACCGTACCTACAAACAAGAAGAAAAGCAAGTCAAATACTTCATACAGGCAAGTTTGTGTTACTCCTGTAGCCATGTTTGAATCAGAATGCCAAGCAACAACTTGGAATGGCAAGAATAACAACTCAGGCCATGTGTCCCTGAGGCATGCAGGGCTGAAGGCATTGCACAAGACGACTCTGGAAGGAAATGTATCGGCTGGATAAAGCAATCTAATGCTTCTGTTGCATACCCCATTGAAGTATATAATGTTGTCCAGACAGGTGCAAACATCCAGTTAGGTGGGCGCCATGATGGTTTCGCCAGTGTCGTGTACCACGTTTTGACTTCCTTCCGTGTGATTACTCCTCCTAGTATGCCACCCACGTGGGGTAAGAGTGTGAGGCCAACAGCAGGAACCCAGGAAGGCATTGTGACAACTAGAGGGGAGACAAGAGTGTTACAGACATATAAAAGAAGTTAATACTTGCAATATACTGGTTGGCATATCACAACACATTTGATATTCAACTGAGACAGGTGCTTTTGGTTTCCCAACCATTAAATAGCAGTTAGAACCCCATACTTCCCCTAGAAATTCCATTACAAGACAATATTCCTTGTGAACTTGGAAATCTATTTTGTACTACCTGAGTGCCAACGTAGAGCTCAGGAGGCAGAGCTTCTTCCTGAACCAATGGGTGATATCACGAGTCAGCCGATTTGGATGGGATGAACCTCCAGCTGAGGTAGATGTTCATTGCTTCATGTCCTTGCTACAAAGTTTCACACCTCCTGCAGTCTATAAGACGGTTTACCTGTAGGTACAGTGAATATCTCCTAAACTTGTACTGTTTAGGAGATATTCACACTGCATTCAGCCAGTGACATCACCGGCGCATACGTACTGAAGGGATGGCATACCTGTGCCATCCCTTCAGAGCTCCTAGATGGCCGGAGCATGCGAACACGGAAGGAAGACCAGGTAAAGATGGAAGCCCTGTCAGCAGTGACAGTACACCGCTGGAGGGCTTCATTCTAAAAAGGTAAGCATTTCATAATGTGCTAGTGAGCAATTCATACTAGCACATTATGTTAGTGTCTTGCAGGTTAAAAAAAAAAAAAAAAAAAAAAAAAAAAAAGGGACAGCGGTTTACTACTATTGCATGGAGGAATGTAGCGCTACTCCCATAAACTACTAAATAAAAAATATATAAATTTAAAATAAAAATATAATATATATAAGTGGGGAAAAAATTCCTATAATATGTATTATAGTGAAAACATGCCACATAATCAAAAATGATAATAGATAACAAATACCACGTGACACTCCTCTATGTGGGCACAAAAACACTCAACAGTGAAAGTGAAAAATTAATTCCAGCTGTAGGAATATATATAATCACATTCAAATAATAATAGACTAATGAAACAATCTATAAAATGTGAGCAAATGTGTAAATTAATACGCATATATAACTACAAATACCCCATTAAGTGATAAAATATTGAGTACATAAAATGTGTACAATAGTGAAGAAACAAAAGTGCAACTGCACCCAACAAAAACTCTATTACTGTGCTCTTAATGTCCAAAAAAAAAAAAAAAAAATGGATTACCACATTTGGATAAAACACTCGTGCTGATATTTGTGTGAACACGTGGGTGAGTGGTTGACACGATAATTCAACCACCGGCTAGATCAGCCTCTCACCTCAAAACTTCGACCCTTGCAGGTCAAAAAGCTCGATTGGATCCCTCTCACAGATCCTCCAATTCTGCTGTCACTCCCACTGGATCAGCTCCCACCGCTCACAAACCTCCCTTCAGGGGTCAGCACACCAATAATGGCTCCTCTCCAGGCAGAGTCAAATACTGCGCTATTATCTCATTCAAAAACATAAACACAAGCTCCCATTGTGCAGTATGTTTATTGCTAATACTTAAAACTTAAACAGTACATAGTAGATAGCGCACTCACATTATTAGGTACAAATTTGCAGCTCCAAACCCATGCTTTTGGATGTGAAAGTGACCATGGGTGTACCAGGGAGTACCAAGATGGCCGCTACACCAGAAATGCGTTACTACGTCAGGCCGACGCGTTGCGTCACAGTACCATGTGACTTCCTCAGGGCTCTGACGTAGTACACCCATGGTCACTTTCACATACAGTATTTGACCCTGCCTGTAGAGGAGCCATTATTAGTATGCTGACCCCTAAAGGGAGGTTTGTGAGCGGTGGGAGCTGATCCAGTGGGAGTGACAGCAGAATTGGAGGATCTGTGAGAGGGATCCAATCGAGCTTATTGACCTGCAAGTGTCGAAGTTTTGAGGTGAGAGGCTGATCTAGCCGGTGGTTGAATTAGTCAACCACTCACCCACGTGTTCACACAAATATCAGCACGAGTGTTTTATCCGAATGTGGTCATCCATGTGTGTTTTTTTTTTTTTTTTTGGACATTAAGAGCACAGTAATAGAGTTTTTTGTTGGGTGCAGTTGCACTTTTGTTTCTTCACTATTGTACACATTTTATGTACTCAATATTTTATCACTTAATGGGGTATTTGTAGTTATATATGCGTAGTAGGAGTGTCACGTGGTATTTGTTATCTATTATCATTTTTGATTATGTGGCATGTTTTCACTTAAATTTTCATTATAATACATATTATAGGAATTTTTTCCCCACTTATATATTATATTTTTATTTTAAATTTATATATTTTTAATTTAGTAGTTTATGGGAGTAGCGCTACATTCCTCCATGCAATTGTTGTACATGATCATTGGTATATGATTCAATGTTAGCAGCAGCTCCAAATTAGGTTGCTTACACCAATAGTGTTTGAGCGCAGGAGGTTCACACCATTATAGCGGTTTACTACTGCTTTAAGCCAATTCACTGGGAATTGGCAACATTTTAAACAGTCTAAGGCCAGCAGACACTAAGCTTTATATAAGAGAGTGGTTGAGCTAAAAACAGTCTTTAGAGAAAGGGTTCTTCTGCATTCCATAAATGGGACCCCTGGTAAGCTGACCTGTGCAGAGCAGTAGAGAGGGGCTGAGCTAGAAGAGGTGGACAGTTCTGAGCGCAGCTGTACAGAGAAGTAGAGGGAAGCTAGACTAGTGGAGGTGGGCAGTTCTGAGCTGTGTAGAGCAGCAGAGTGGAGCTGAAATAGTTAAGGTGGGCAGTTCGGAGCTATACAAAGCAGTAGACTGGAGCTGGAATAGTTAAGGTGGGCAGTTCTAAGCTGTACTGAGCGGTAGAGGGCTGGACTAGTGGTAGTGGACAGTTCTGTGCAGAGCTCTAGAGGGGGATTGGACTAGTGGAGGTGAGTGACTCTTAGCGGAGTTCTATTGGCGATTGGACTAACAGAGGTTGGCAGTTCTGAGCTGTGCAGAGAAGTAGAATGGGGCAAACGTAGTACAGTAGGATGGTTCTGGGCAGGAAGAGCTGAGACACTCCCTGTCTCAGTCAGTGTAGTGTAGTCAACACTAAAAAATTTTTTTTACAAAAAATGGGTCTACAAGCACAAACATAGCTAGCTGGGATGGCTGGACATGAATACATGAAGTTACCTCTCCATAAGGCTGGAAATGCTGCTTTTCAGTTATGACTGCTGCAAACTGGGACAAGCAGCAGAGGAAAGCCTCAAGTAATCTAGCAAGGTGAATCAAGGGCTGTACGTAAAGATAACAGTGTGCCTGGAGTTCAGCTTTAAAACCATGCATATAAGAATTACACAGGTTTTATGGCTGATTCAAGAGTCTGTCCCTCAAAGGTTCAGACAATACCCACTGCAAGGAATCATAGAATACTTACCTCCTCCTCCTACTGCTCATGATGCTGATCTCTGCAGTAAAGAAAAACCTCCATCCGAAGACCAAGCTGAATCCATACCAAAATATTCATATGGAATCTTTTAATTTTTATGCGAATGATGTTTTAGCACTATTACATAGAATGGAAGAAAATATACACAACGCTCCTTACACTAGATTATAGGTTTATAGACACCTATATAAAATATTTTGGACATCCCATTCCAAAATAATGGTCATAAATATAGTGTTGCCCCCCTCTGCTTCTATAACAGCCTCCATTCTTTTGGAAAGGATTTCAACAAAATTTCGGAGTGCGACTGGGAATTACCTCAGGCCACTCCAGTTCCTCTGCAAACGTTTCATCAAACCATGTCTTTATGGAGCTGACTTTGTACACAGGAGCACAATCATGTTGGAATAGAAAAGGACTTTCCCCAAACTGTTACCACAAAGTTGGAAGCACACAATTGTTTAAAATATCTTTTCATTCTGTAGTATTGACAAAAACCCTGAAACACCTGAACTCAATCTGAAGGGGTGTCCACATACCATATAATAGGAGTGATGATCAGTAATCCACAAACTGTTGGCTATATAGTACAAATTCCCTCTATAAAAGTGAGAACCAAGGGAATGAGTAATAAGGGATGAAAGTGGGAGCCATTGCATATAACAACAAATCACAATTCATCTTTCATTTCTTGAAAGAATGAAACAAGAACATTTACTCCTACAAGTAAGCAATCAGCCATGATCGATGTCTTTAACAGCTCCTACATTTTATAGCATGTAGACAAGACAGACTCTACATCTAAAGTATTAACAGCCAACTTCATCTCAATGGTCGAACCTACCAGTGGTGTTTGTGGCAACACTCAGCACAAGCTGGTCAGAGGAAAGAAATCAATAGAAGAATTTTCCCAGCAGTCCTGATTTTGTCTGACTCACAGAGCTTCAAGCAACTCAACCGACTGGCGATTCTGGATATAATACAATCACCTTATACAACAACCTCCTCTTATATTAACATTCTAACTTTATAGAACACAGGGTGGAGATAATCATACATATGACTCTTCAAGTCTCATTAAAGTTGGGTGTAAATATACTCCTGACTGCATTTATCTAAACAGCCGCATGTTGGGCGTTTACTGGATTCTGTTGTTTCAAAATTCTGTCTCTGAATCCCAAACCCGTTATCTCTGTATCACAGGACAAGTATTATCAACCAGCAGAGTTAAATGTTTGATGTGGCACTCTCATATCACCAAGTCTACTTTAATCTACAGTCTTTTTCTAGCCCAATTCCAGGAAAACCTTTTTGTTAGTTTTAGATAGTGTGAAGGAGATAGTTTGGGACCTCAGGAATTAAATGTTTCTGCACTGTTGAAAAAAATTTAAAAAATCTCCACAAATAGGATTTCTGTTTTCTTCCTGATGTGTCTGATGCCAGTCAGTCATTCAGACAGAAGGTTCTAAATGTTCCTCAACTTCCTGAGGAAGGGGAGGAGGGTCAAATTTCTCCATTTTCTGTTCTGACACCAAATAGACTGAAAATGAAAAATCAGTATAAATGCAGAAATAGAGCAGATAAGGGTTGCAATCTCTACATTAACCAAAACTTGTAAAAAAAAACACAATTTTTTTTTAGCTGGTTGTTGCCCTTTACCCCTTCCCGCCTCTGGCTCCAGGCCATTTAAGAGGTTCTAAATTCTGGGAGGCGGAAGCAGGAATTCAAATCATGTTGACTGCTGTGATTGGCTGTCACATGATCAGAAAGCTCCCAATCGCAAGCGTCAGATGCTTTCCAGTACACAGCAGTAACTGTGCTGGAAGCACGCAGGGCACATGCTCTCAGCACAGAAAATGTTTACATAGGAACACATTTTTGGCGGCCTCTCGGCATTAAAGCCCACCCATCGAGAAGCCGTATTTATGCATACTGCAGGCGGGAACTCGTTAAAGCCCCATTCACATTAGGTGAAATCTGCCTTGAGGCCTTCTGGCATAAGTTATTGTACACCTTCTAGATGGCTCCAGTGTTGCCAACACTCAAAATCTGATTTGTTAAAGCAACAGTTTCATTGCCATTTACTGTAAGCTACAGGAGCCAGAATGTTGATTCTGAAGGCCTCAACGGAGATTTCTTTGGCAACACGATGGCTATCATGGCTAAAATATGCTTGGATAAACTCTCTAACATAAAACATGCACTACAGGAAGCAGTGCAACCAAGAGAAAAGCTATGAAATAAAGAGAATAGATTATTCAGAATAATTTAATACACATTCACGGAAAATAATATATTAAAAATCATAATCAGTGATTACGATAGTTTAGGTCAGCAGAGAAGGCCTTGATGAACCACCACTGGTTCTTGCTAAGCTGCAAAGTCAAACCTGAACTCTACTTAAAGTTTCCTCTGCTAAATGTCCAAACTAGCTCACCTTCTATTCGCTCTCAGAGATAGATTCAGGGTGTGTGATCTGTGTACTCCTCTGTTGTCAAGTTGAAAACCACAAATTGATTTGAAAAGCCGGAACATAAAACAAAACCCTCTATTAGAATAAAGGCAGTACAGTGGCTAGGTGGTTAGCACTTCCACCTAGCAGAACTAAGGCTGTTGGTTTGAATCCTAACCACGAAACTACCTGCACAGAATTTGCAAGTTCTCCCCGTGCCCAAATGGGTTTCCTCCGGGTACTCCAGTTTCCTTCCACACTCCAAAAGACATGCTGGTTGATTAACTGGCTCCTGTCTAAACTGGCCATAGTATGTATGAATGCGACTTAGGGACCTTAGAATGTAAAGAGGGTTAGGGACTGATGTAAATGTATAATTTATATGTAAAGCACTGCGTAAATTGATGTTGCCACATAAGTACCTGTAATATAAGAGTAGGGCCCTCTTACCCCTCGTACGTTGTTTGTTGTTGTTGTACTGTGCCATGTATTGTCCCCCCTATTGTACAGCGCAAACCCTTTGGCGCTATATAAACTCGTAGTAATAATAATAATAATAATAATAAAAAATAAAAATAAATACAAAAGTAGGAGATGTCTCTTTACAGGGCTATACTTTTCTACTATTTGTTTTAGATTTGTTTCTATTCTATATCTTTGATGGTATTTGTTTTGTGATTCTGTAGACATTTTTGAGATTTTATTTTATTTGTTCCTCATATGTTTAAACAAGCAGATTTTATAGGGATATCTAAAAGGGGCAAGCTGGCCATACACTGTACGAATTTTTGCCTGGTTGGCCTCCTCCAGCCCAAAATCCCTTGACTTATAAATCGAAAGACCAGGGCAGAAAGTGGTCAGCTGAACAGCGGTTACATCCAAACAGGTGCACCTGCTTTTTGGGTAGCTGGCAGGGCTACTGTCAAAATACAACAGCCACAGCAGGAAATTTGTTCATTCAGGCTGGAGAGTGTAAATGGTGGAATATGCTAGATTTTAATTTTTGCGTGTGTGGCCAGCTTTAATTAGGATTGCATTGGCTCCTTCCTGTTTTTTTGTTTGAATATTAGTGTTACTATGTATGAGTTCTTTTAATTGGTTGGTTCAAAGGGCAGAAGGTAATACCATATAGGTGCAGTGTGAGACCTTTAGATTATTTACAGTTGATTTCATAAAGACCTGAATGGTTAAAATGCGTCATAAAGAGCACCATGGTTTTTTTTGTACCCGCCATGCATTTTATTTAATAAAGGATTTTGTTTTATATTCTGGCTGTGTTGATCAACTTGTGGTTCCAGGTTTCCTTGTGACATTCTTCTAGTCACATTTCTGAACTAAATCCATGGTATAGAAGCAGATTCCTTTAGTAACAATGCCTTCACCTCCCGTCCAGTTCCCAGATGACTGACTAGGTTGTGTAAGACAGGGAGGGAATCACAGTGCAACTCCACTAGCACTGGGAAGCGAAGTTTCCCTATGCAGTTTAGATAAAGTTTCCTTAAAAATGACACACACTTTTTAAAGTGGAACCAACCTATAGAAGAGATGCACAAAATGTTTGCAAGTGGCACCATCATATGCTGTCACATTTTTTTTCATGTTTTTATATCTGCAGAGAGATGTATGGCCAAATGTGAGTATTCTTGTCCAGAGCCATCATTCTGACTGTGGATGAGCTCAGACAGTGTGGTAACTTCTGTAGAATATTTAGATTCTTCTTTGGCTTGTGACGTTTGCTCACGTTTGGTAAGATGACAACATGTGACTGGTACCTACCATGTACAGAACGTGATCATATGATCAGCAGACCTGAATCTAAATAGTCGTTTACTCTGGTGCCTCCTTACTGCCACAACCATGAAAGGCCCGCACCACCACATTGCAGTCATGTGCAGTTGTGACATGGCAGCTGAATATGATATGTAGTATAATTTTTGCCACAACACAAAGCATCATGGCTACGGCATGTGTACAGCCTGTTGCAGCTTAAAGGGGGAGAAGTATCCAAGGGGCTCATGTGAATGAGCCCATAGAGCTTTGGGGCATCCAGTTTACAGTAAAATACATGGTGTGATCTGAATGGGGTCTAAGGGATCCATTCATATTTCTGGGCCTAAAGTATAAATGTATGTAAAACCATATTTCATTTTGCATTTTTGGATATAACTGAAAACAATTAGTACCCCTGTCAAGTTTTTATTACGTTCTATGTCCTCAATAGAGACGGTCCCCCTCTCGATTTTGTCCTAGTGACTATGGTCCTTGGGATAGAAAGTGAAGAGAAATCCAAAATTTTACACCTGAAGACAAGACACCTGTTCTGGCAACAAGAAAGGATTTCTTCTCACATCCTTGTGCTGTCTCCAGGACAGGACATGAAAGGAAATCCCCCCCCCCCCCCAACATTACAAGAAATGGTGAAAAAAAAACCTGGCTGGGTTTTAAACCATTCCCTACTCATCAAAAATATTCTGGCTCTTTAACAAGTTTTTGTTTTGTTTTTTGTTTTTTTTTTTACACATTTTGCATTTGTTAGGTACACTGGAATGCATTTTGTGGTGAGCTGCACATAAAGCATGTATGTACTGCCACTCTTCCCTGAAGTGTCTGTTGGCCGGAGGACATGTCGTTGTGCTGCCCGCACCAAAAGTATTACATAAGTTCACAAAATGCTTTTTTGGCTACACACAATAAAACTCCTGCGGCAACTTTCTACTTAGGACATTCCTCTTTTTTTGGTAAAAGCAGCTAAACTAATGCTTAGGCATTTGAGATTTTACATAAAGAAAAAAAAAATAGCTAAGGGGTCTGTTTTTAAATGTTTAGGAAATGTCTAAATGTAGGTGAAAGTTGTGTGTATTGTTTGTGACAACATTCATAAAGTGACCCTTAAGGAACCCCTTTTTTAAAAGTGAATGTGACATTCAAACAATTAGTGGCGGTGAATAATCCACTGGAGAGAGAGAGAGAGAGAGAGAGAGAGAGAGAGAGAGAGAGAGAGAGAGAGAGAGAGAGAGAGAGAGAGAGAGAGTAATACAAATACCCCAAAGTGTTAAAGTTTGAGGTATAGCAAAAGGCAAAATGTTATTGCTTCCCCCAGTAGTGATATTCACTCTCTAACTGTCCTGATCACTAGTGTCACAGGGAATAAAAAGAGTTGTAAAATCCCAAATTTGCTGTCACCAGAAAAGGAATATAGGAATTCTGCAATGGGGCCACGTGTTCTGGTGACAGCAGTCTAGAAGACATGAAGTGCAAAGAAATCTATTGAGAAAAAAAAAAAAGCAAGACAATGGTGTTAACCCTCTTTTACTCCATCCAAAATAGGAAATAAAGTTTTTCCTAATTTTTTTTTTGCCAGGGGGTCAAGGGTGATATGAGGTTGGTTATGCCACCTAACATCATGATTATACAGACTAAATAATAACACATCATGCAGCTGATAACTAGCCCCTGAATCCATCATCTCTATATCCAACCATCTACTGGAATGCATCTTGTAGACAGGAACACACAAACAAAAGTAATAAACACATTATCAGTGTGTGTATATATATATATATTTTTTTTTTTTTTTCAGGCTCAATGCATGCATTCTCTAACCTTCTGCCCTGATGTGGAACTACAAGTCCCAGAATGCCCACCCAGCCAGAAGACCATAGATTGCCTCTATCTAATCTGCAGTGATCTGCTAGTCAATGACATGAGATCGCTGGCTGCTTAAGAAGGATTATCAAAAACACTCACCTCTGCTTTCTCTGCTAGCACTGGAGGTTCTGGAGCTGTCAGCACATACATACAGCCTTGGGTGTGTGCAGGTCACATGACCCGGGGGGTGGGTCCATTCAGACACATGCCAATGATGGAAGTCATCTTAACTCTTGGCAAAAACAGAGCTGCTGCTTAGTGAAGCCTGTGTTTGCTTGTCTTTTGCAACAATTCAGTTCAACATGCATGTTTTGTTTTTATATCTGGAGTTTAAAACAAAAAAAAGAGATGATACCAAACTGTAAACACAGAATATACAATATAATATATGTAAAAGATAATAAAACAGAACACTTCATTTCATGTACCTTTACTGCCACATTGAACAAAAAAAAAAAAAAATAATAATAATCCATGATATCAAAGTATCAGGAGCCTAATGTTAAAATTCCCCTCAAAAACTGTTTATAGTTTTGGATAGAGTGGGGAAAAGGTTAGACTAATGCCCCGTACACACGATGAGAATATCGGACGAACGATCAGCCGTTTTTTTTCATCTGCTAGTCTCACATCGAAAGTGAAGAGGTTACTAAAGATATGAAAATTCTCCTATGAAAGAAAAGAATTTCGAAAGTGATGTCATGTATTGTGTTGTATTTGTATTGTATTTTCAGACGACTACTGTACTGATTAAAACAAAAATCGTACGATCTGGTATTGTATGAGAAAATGTTTTGCGCTTGTCCCTTTGGATATTGTTGTACGAATTGTCGCGATCGGCTCTCAAAAGCTGTGTACTAATTATCCGATTATCGGACGATCAGTCCTCGTACGAAAATGTTGGTACGATTTTCTTATAGTGTGTACGAGGCTTTACTGTCAGGTTTTTATTGCTGTCTGTGCCTGATAATCATTTACCTCTTGTCTATGTGGCTGTGGTTATCAGGATACCTTTATCACATAGGTAACTGAAAAAAAATTTGTTGTCACCAGAAAATGACTAGAGGAATTCTGCAACGGGGACACTTGTTCTGGTGACAGTGGTCTAGGAAGGCATCAGGACAGGTAGTGAAAAAAAAAAAATCTATTGAGACACAAGACAAAAAAAAAAAAAAAAAAAGTATGACAGAGGTTTTAACCATGTGACACTACAGTGGCATGGGATTGCAAACCCTGCACAATAACAAAAACAACCTGAAATAAAAGCTAACTACACAGTTATACAAATCACCGTATATCTCCAGGTCAAAAAATTACCTTTCTGAATACAAACTGCGCTATAAAAATCATATATATATATATATATATATATATATATATATATATATATAATACAAAACAAAATATTACTACTTTCCACTATAAAAATTATAATAAACAAATCATATTCTGTAATGACAAAATATATGTGCAGCGCTCTGTAAATAATAAAGTGATAATCAAAAAAAGTCCATAAATCAAAAGTCCTTTTGCAATCACCAAGTGAATTGAATTGCCAAGAAAAAATCACCACGTGACTGTTAAAATATCTTCAAAAGTGCCGTGCTCCCCCTTCAGGTGTGCACTTACCAAATTTATTTGACTCTCACTCTCATGGTTGGCAAATACGCTTTTGTGTAAATATATATTCTTCCAGAAAAAGATGTTCTTTCATATCATGTATCGATTCCTCCTCAGAATGGTTCAAATACTCCTCTGATAATGACTCTCCATAGACATCACATAAAAGAAAAGAAATAGAGACCCAACGTGGTGCAGTACCATTTAAACCATTTAATCTCTGCCCGGAGGAACTCACTTACATGAACATAGTATAAAATAAGCCCAAAGACATTCAATTTGGCGAGTGCACACCTGAAGGGGGAGCACGGCACTTTTGAAGATACCTTAACAGTCAAGTGGTGATTTTTCTTGGGCAATTCAATTCACATGGTGATTGCAAAAGGACTTTTGATTTATGGACTTTTTTTTTATTATCACTTTATTATTTACAGAGCGCTGCACATATATTTTGTCATTACAGGATATGATTTGTTTATTATAATTACATAGTTAGTCTGGCTGAAAAAAAGACAAAAGTTCATCCAGTTCAACCATAAAAAAAAAAAAAAAAAAAAAAAAAAAAAGTTATAATCCTACACCCAGAGTTGATCCAGATGAAGGCAAAAAAAAAAACAGCAAAGCATGATTCAATTTGCTCCTGCAGGGAAAGAATTCCTTCCTAATACCCCGAGAAGCAATCTGATATTCCCTGGATCAACTTTACCTTTCAATGTTAGTATCCAGGTTATATTCTGTGTATCTAAGAAAGTCCAGGCCTTTTTTAAAAGCAATCCACTGAGCTGGCCAGAAACCAACTCTAGAGGGAGCCTATTCCACATTTTCACAGCTCTCACTGTGAAGAAACCTTTCCGTGTTTGGAGATTACATTTCTTTTCCCCCAGACGTAAAGAGTGCCCCCTTGCCCTCTGTGATGACCTGTCAGGGTCCTGTCTACAACAGGAGTTCTGGAAGATCTGGCGTTTTTGCCAATACTCTACATGGCCGCAGGAGGACACATCAGCCTCAGTCTAGTGCCAGACGGCCTTTATAAGGAGGCTCAGCACTTCCTCTGGTTGCTGGATGATCTCTAGCGTCCCCGTGCCTTGTTCCTGTGACCTCCTGATACCGACTCGGCTTGCACTTGGACCTGTCTGCTCTACTGAACCCCTGATCTGACCTCGGCTTGGCTAAAGGAATACTCTCTCTCACTCCTCTGTGTATGACCTCAGCTATCCTATGTGACCACGTCTGCTCTGATTCCCACCTGGTACCTGACCTTGGTTTGAACCAGTTATCCAGTAAATCTCTAATCCCAGAAGGGCTTGTATACCACGCACAGGCGCCACCAGTCTGCAGACCTGGTCTCCGTACACCAGCTGTGCTTCTGGTGGACCACCAACCAGCCCCCTACAGGTGACCTGTGCAACTTTGGGCCTGACTCCCGCTGTCCCACTCTCAGGGAACTGGAACTTAGCCACAAGGGAAGCCCTCTTTCCATTGGCCTCTACCACCAGGTACATGATATGACCTCAGGGTGAATAACTCTACACCAAGTTCACTATATGAACCACTGATGTATTTATACATGTTGATCATATCCCCCTTAATCTCCTCTTCTCAAGAGAGAATAAATTCAGTTCCTCTAATCTTTCCTCATAGCTGATCTTCACCATGCCTCTCATCAGTTTGGTTGCCCTTCTCTGTACTTTCTCCAGTTCCCCAATGTTCTTTTTCTGAATTGGTGACCAAAATTGAACTGCATATTCCAGATGAGGTATTACTAATGAAGCGCTACTACCGTAGCAGCTGCAGGAATACTGTCCAGGTCCTTCCCAAACACTTTGCCCTTCAGCCAGGCACATAAGCTCATTCACTCTTTTCTCCAATAGTTAGTCTGGGGGTGTTGGTTTTGTTGAATAGGGATGAGGGATATGAGTGGGATACTCCAGATTGGGAACTATAGACAGGAGATTAGAAAGTCCTCCGTGTACAATCTCCAGAACAAGCTATATCATGGTCCATGCTTGAATCAAATGGTGGACTTCAGCTTCAAGCAGTAGCAACATTAACTTCTTTAGAGCCCAGAGTAGTGTCTCTAAGTAGTAGTTTGCAGAAGGACAAGCTCTTCGGAACACTAGCTGGTATTCTCTGACTTCCCAGCACCAGAGGGAGTTCACAGCACACAGTCTCCAAATTCCTTTAGGGAAGTCTGTACTCATAAGGCCCATGAGACACTGGACACCTTCCTTCATGATATCAGACCAGATCTTCAGTAGACAGCCCCTCCGTCAGCATAGCAGAACCTGGGTCTCAGCAATTTCAGGTAGCCCACCTGGGGCAGCAGCTGCCTGGGAGGGCAAACGTGCCCCCTCCAAGGCTTGGCAATCCTAGCCAGGAAAGACCCAGAACTCAGTGAATATATACAGTTATCCAGCATGCCCTGGAGCCCCTTACTCTGGGATAGGCTGAGGATGTATCAATAGTCATACTGTCATCTGCATAGCTCCACACATATCATCCAGTCTCCTGGAAACAAACAAAGCTAGGCAGGCTAGCAGCAGCTAAGCACACAAAGCAGACCTCGTAAACAATCACAGCTCACTCAGTACAGTGAGCCAACAATACTTTTATCTAGCAATAATTACAGCCACTATGCCTACAGAGTGACAACTAAATGTACCTGTCAAAACATATCTACTCCTATCTATCTATCCTATCACCTACCTACGCGCCCTTGTGATCTGCATGCAGATGCCAATTAGGGTTGCCACCTCATCCCTTTAAAACCGAACACATTAATTACACAGGTTCTGAAGCTAATTCAATGCTGATAAGGCACTAAGCGAGTTTAATTACCACCCTAATCAGCCACAGAACCTATATAATAATTAATATGTGTTCAGTTTTAAAGGGATGAGGTGGCAACCCTAGTGCCAATGTAGTATTAATTTCCCCCCCCTCTACAATCAGTACTATGCGGTTTGGTGTTGGGTATTTTTAAAAATAGTGCAAGCACTGCTTTTGGTCTGGCGCATAACGCTCCCGATCCTGGTTTAAACTGGCCCTAAGACAAGAATATTGGAAAATATTGAGCTGCGGCCCTTTATTGGGGTTAAAAATAGTATCAATTAAACCAAAAAAAAAAACTTTAAAATTCATAATCATAAACCAAATCAAAAGCTTTTAAATGAATAACAAACACCAAAAGCTCAGTTACAAAGACTTGAGATAAACATAACCAGCCTGTTAAAGCATTTAATCACACTGTCCACCTACAAATGTGAGGGGCAGCACCACCAAAAAAGGACAGCCAAGACTAGGAGAGGGAGGATGGGACAATTCAGCTTGATTGAAGATCCATCTGCTAACAGGGGAATTAAAAGCGAAAATATAAAATGGCGAGTCAGATCCATGATTGTTTGGCAGGTTTTCTCCCAAAAAATCCAGGACCAATCCAGGCTGAAGGATACTGACAAACATCCCTTTGATAATGTACTCGGGCATGAAACGCGTTAGAAGGAGCCTGCCATAGTGACGTCATGCCGCAGACGGCCGCATGGAAG